TGGGAACAAACTTTAGAACATAATATTTCAATTTTCATTGGTCAATGAATAGAAAATATTTCAGAGCAAAAGAAAATATTTTTTAAATATTATTTTAATGTTATTTCAAAAATATTTTTTTCTAATATTTAATTAGCATGAAGCACATAAATTAAGAATACTTTTGCATAGTACCAAAACTTTTTGTATTTATATATGACACCATTAACACCCAAAACGTTATTAATATATTATTTTAAAAAAGTGTGAACAAACTTTAGAACGTATTATCTCAATTTTCATTGGTCAATTAACGGTAAATATTTCAAAATAAAAAGAAATATTTCTTAAATATTAGTTAAATGTTATCTAGAAAATATTTGTTTCTAATATTTAATTAGCATAAAACAAATACATAAAATAAATACATATACAAACAATAAATATTTGATTTAAATGTCAAAGAAATATTTATAAGAAATATTGTTATAATATTCAAGAATCTGTCGCTTCAACCTATATTAAATACTGCAAAAAAATATTACTGTAATATTTGTGTGCTATCTGGGGTATAGGGGCGAAGCAAATTTACAAGTTTTATTATCGTAGATTCACGTTCATAAATGTATAATTTTTTAAAGATATAACTTTTCTGGTCAATTTAAAGCCTGTTTTATGTAGAATTGCTCTTTTTGGAGAATTCCCATTACACTGACCAACAATCCTACAAACTCGAAGACTTCTTCTGGACTGGTTCAGGAGATGGGCCTACCGAAGAGAATGTGTGGACCTCTGAAGGTCCTTCCACAGTCTACAAAACATCAACTATTATAAGTACGGTTTTCGTGGAAAATACTGCGACGAAAGCAAACGATGTGAGCTTCCGATAGTCTTCTCTGGGTTTCGGGTAGCTGAAAGATGCAACTTTTAGACCTCTGCTCGGCCACCAAACTGCACGGTAAACTGTCTGACCAGTGCATCCGATGGGGAAATCACTCCAACTCCAACCTTTAGTGGAGATGCTGATACAGGAAATATTGGAGATGATTTTTCCGCTGCCAAGGAACAATTTTGGCTGCTGACTGTCTTGAAAAGTGATGGGAAAGATCCTGTGATTATTGATCTCAAAAATAGCTTAGCCAACTTGTATAAAACAGCATTTCAGAGGTAAATTTTTAAGTGACTAATTCACGTAAGCAACTTTCTGAATGATAATGAACTACTTTATCAACAAGAAAAGTCGGTTTTAAACAACAATTCAAACAGAGGCTATTTTACAGATTTTAGGGCAAAAATCTGTAACGAAATTCTGACAGTTTTCATATTCACTATATCAAAATTACTAAAGTTCCTAAAACTTACGTTTTGAAGTTCAGCTTTTTAGAAATAATGTGCAAAAACCCCTACTACTGGGCCCGTCTTCAATAAGGCGTAGCTCCGTTAGGGAGCATCTTTCGATGCATGTTTATTTGAAAAATTAATATTATTTTTGAGAGCAGATTTCACTGTTTCAATTATTCAATAGCCACCTAATTTCGGGACACCCTGTATATTGAATATTGAAAAAGCAAGTAGCAAGCTGAAAGTTTAATTATGAGTAGCAGACATCACCATATATGAAAACTATCAAATTTTTCAATCGGTTTGCAGTGAATTCAAACACTTTGCGCAACTATGAAAATGCTGGACTAAATATAAATGATCACTACACTACTGCCCTGTAAAATTCGCAATGGCTAATACACATTAAGTCTTAACTTCAAATTTGCCCCATCTATAGAAAACACTTAAATATGAAAAGCCTGAATTGGCCATTCTAATCGAGTCACTTTTAGGTTGGTTAACTTGGTGTTTAGCTTAAAACGAATGATTTTACGCAATTCCAATATTTAAAAACAACTGCTAAATTTCTAACCTAGAGCAAGTAGCGGCCTGAATTTTTTGGAGTCCACGTAAAAATTTCTATAAAATAGCATGAAATTGTAATTTTTGTCAGCGAAAATACTGGTCCTAAAATACAAACTTTCACGCAATGGCATGGTTTTCTTTAAATGTGCCCAACTCTTAATCAGAAGCAGGTAGTAGCTTACCATTTTCGGTACCTTTGGCTGAAAGGAATATGTGTAAAACGTGGAAGTTTAAAAAAAAATTGTAATAATTCCTAAATTTTTGTCAACTACTTATCTATGCTGATCGAAAAATGAATGCTTCCGAACAACTGCACGATCTACTTTAAATATTTCCAACTTATAATAGGAAGCGAACTGAAGTTCGCAATTTATACGGTCTATGAAATACACTTAATACCCGGCAATCGTCCCACTCACATCTTTTTAAGATCTTAAACATTTCTAACGAGAGCAAGAAGCAATTTTAAATAATTGCAAGTGCAATTTGAGAAGAAGTAGCAACTTAAACTTTGGAACTGAAGTAAAGCAGTTGAATCTTCACCGCAAGCTCCACAACTGGCATTAAAATAACTGCTCTGGTTTTGGTTAAAACCAAGATCGTAAATGCTGACCTAAAAATCTTTCAAAATTTATTTTTTGGACACTTTCCTTTAAGGTGTAATTGTTGATCAACGGCCAGATCAATGTATTTTTATAATCTACAAATACGATCATCTTATTTTCTATAGAAAAATTGTCGGCATTTTTCCTTAAGAAGTAGAAAATTGAACTTCGAAATATCGTGATATAACTTCATGCCCTTTTTAGTTTTAAATATTTATTGCTTTTAATCGGGGGCAAGTAGCAAATTGGAAATACATGATCTATAGAAAACAGATTAAYATGAAAATCYTGAAAATGTTGGCATAGAAATGAAGGTTTCGGGAAAACTTCATCGGTTCATCGTCTTCTTTAAATGTTTCTTTTGAACTTTCTATAGAACAAGTAGATATTATAAAAACTTGAAATATCTCCAATCTACGGGAGACTTGAATCTGAAAATCATGGCAATTTAAATAAAATTGTAGAAAGTTCTGATTTGGCTGACCATGAAAATAGTGACTGAAACTGAATGTACTCGTATTAACTCAACTGCACGCGCTCCTATCAATATTTCCAACTGCCAAGCGATAGGAGGAAGTTGAGAAGTAGTATTTTGTAAATGTTGTCATAGAAATGACGATTTTCATAATTTTCTTTAAATATTTCCAATGGTTTCACGGTCTTAAAATTTACCGAAGCGTTGAAACTTTCATGGACATTTTAGATAAAGAAGCGATGAAAGTTGCTAAGCTAAGCTCCAAGTCTTCCTTAAAGGCGATATAGCTTAAGAATTTGAACTTGAAGTTGGCAGCACCTTTATAGAAATCCAACTACAAGTGTACTTGTGTAAATTGTACTCRAWTTTTTGCRRAAACAAAAAATTCTTACTCTTACTCAAATATTGTCCATTGATATTTTAATTTATTTTAAATATGCAATATTTCCAAACACCWYGTAGACATCAAATTGACTAGAAAAAAAATTTCCTCTTTTAGACAGCAAGCTCAACATTTGGGCATAKCACGTAGCAAAAGAGCCGTACTTGAAAAGCCAGTTCATGTTTACATTCATGAARTGAACAGGCAAACCATTGATGGTGAAGATAAAATTGAAGTTCTCTATCATGTCGAAATGCTCGGYAAACCGGTGGATGCCCATACAGCTGCCACTGATATGAAGTTGCTTTCGGATGAAGAAGTTGTAAARGAACTGGGWTATCCGTTTGAAATAAAAGCTGAACGTACGTAGTGCTGYTTGYTTAGTTCTTGCAGGCTTTACTGGGCTTGGTTTCAGCWTATGTSAAAGCTTCCCAGCCGCAAGAGTTGTCGAAAGCAAAAAATACATGGTTTGTGATCGGAGTGTCCATCATTGGACTTTTGTTGATTCTACTTATCCTGGCATTTCTGCTTCTGGGCTTCACCAAGAAGAAACGCCTACCCCAGCCGAATGTTGGTATTGAGAATAGGTAAACTGGCTCTTAAGGTTGATATGAAAGGAACATGAGTTGATAATTGGTTTTCAAGGCGGCATATATTTGAAAGGGCTGTTGGGCACGAAAATAAAGGTCTGGTCCAAGACGAAGAAACTGCTAGTGAAACACAACAAGGCAGGGAAAATTCACCGACGTATATCAACTTTGCGGATCAGCATGTTACTGCGGTTGTACTCAGGCCCCAAAGCTCTTTTAGTGGAACTTCTTCAAGGTATGAATATTTCCAGCATAAGGCACTTTATCTTCCAAATTTAAACAAAATGCCACTGCTCACAGAAAATTGTGAATCTGTTTCCAATAACAAATTATTTTTGATTGATTCCTAAATTGATCGTCAATTACAGACCATCAGTTCTTATGCTTTGATTACTTCATACTGAAGCATATATTTGCTTGCATTAATAAACATCAATTGATTTAGATATCGAATTTTTGAGCAGATCAATTGACGACTAGACCGATTTGTTTGCATACAATCAGTTAATTGAGCTAAGTTTAATTTTATTATTTAACGCAAGCGTTAGCCACCGTTGGAAAACTTTTCAAATTTTGTTGCTGACCCCGGTATGCCTTCTCAGATCTTTTATTAAAATAAATTTGAATAATTTGTCTTTTGCTTTAACGTCCTGATTAATTTCCTTCTTAGCTCTGATGAGATTCCGTCCTTTTCAGTTCCAGTTCTTTGGATATATCTCCCTTGATGAACATTGAAACCAAGCACAAACCGCCACCGAAAAAACCTCCTAGACCTCGAGCGGCATTGAACAAAACCGTTCCTGTGAACACCACCAGGCAGCTTCCTCAGGAAGTATTTGATTCAGACAGCAGCCTTTCCAGAAAAGATGAATCTCCAGAATTTGCTCCCAACATGGATCCTGGAGTGATGAGCCCTAAGAGCTTCTTGTCTATGCCCAGCGTTAAGAGCTTTCCAAGGTGATAATCCTAAGGAACGTGTTGCAATAAAAGGTAAACCCACTTTTGTTGTACAGAACAAATATGCCAGAGCCACTGAATAGAGTGTTGGAGCCAGTGAGTGTCACTCATTTGGACATGCCTGATGATGGTCGAATTTCAGCTAGAGATGATAGGAAGTATGGATCGGAGTCGTTGATCAGGCACGGAAGCATTGGAACTATGGAAGATCCAGGTGTCATTGGTCCGATAGTTTGGAATAGACATTGCGACCGATTGAAGCAAGGTAAACTTGGATAGTTTCTAATATCTGAACTGTTGAGTATAGGCCTGGGAAATAACGTGTCTTAAGACACTTGCGTGTTAATGCCGCTCTGTGTGTCTATGTGCCGCGATACCTGGCCTCTTACGACACAACACCATTTAATTTCATTCAAGATGGCAGACTTCGAATTGCAGTTCGTGAAGGCCACGCGCACTTACCATCTGGTTTCTGACCCTCTCGACAGGGATTATTTACGTTATAAAGCCGCACGAGCGAAAGTGCTCAAAATACTTGTCTACTGATTACTGATGAATTCTTATTTATCTCGGGTCGATGGTTCGCATAGGATGCCGGTTGCAGGTACCAGTACAACATCTGGGATTTCAATATTTCAATAAAGCAAAAAGGCAAATGCCTGCCTATTGATTGCAACTTTTTGGTGCTGGTTCTGGTGCTCAAGATGAATATGTTGAACAGGTTCAGGATGGATCCGAGGGTGCAAATGATAAAACTGACGTAGATGTGGTAGCTGCAAAAGTCTTTGCTAAATTGTTTTAGGTCTCAAAACGTTACGTTGCCGCTCGCAGTCATCGTTTACTGACTCGCTGCGATCCTGCAGGCCTCACTCACGTTGTTGGCTTCATTTCTAGGGCCTCCGCCCCGGCCTGCAAAGAAAACAAAAGCTCAAAGGGCTGTTTCTTTTTGGAATTTCAAATCTCTGGATTTGGATCTCTGTCAGAGTCTGTCTTCAGTAAAACCAAAGAAAAAACATTGAACGCGCTTCACCGCTTAAAAGCACCGCTAGAGCGAACTTACAAACCACTAGACATCACGAAACACAGCGCATTCTGTTTTTATTTCCCAACATATAAAAAGAGTGGCGAGCTGTGTCGCTGTATCAATACGGCAAGCCGTATCGGTGTCACTGTATGAACACCTGAAAATCCACTGTGTTACCCAGGCGTAGTTGAGTACATACATCTGGAGAATTTTTATTCAACTTCTTGATTCTCCTGTTTAACTTCATTCGGACGAGCTCCTTATAAGCAATTTTCAATAGCTCAAATCTACCAATTTAGGGGTGAGCGTTGATCAAGGTATCAATGAATTGAATGGACAACTGAAAGCTTCCACCAACATATCGCGCATGAGGAAGCGCTTTCACGATCTTCTGGACGACACTTTCAGCTTGTTTGGCAATAGCCGAAAGGGCAGCCCTACAGATTCGCCTGTAGATGACCGAAGCCGGCCGATAGCAATTGAAGTGAAGAGTCACTCGGCCAATGATAGCAGGTGATTTACCTCAACATCCAATAGCAAAAGACACTAAATTATATCCTCTATAGGCCACTAGATATTGAGTCTACCTTGCCACCAAGACCCAAAACTTCGGGTAGTTCAAAGCCGCCCTCTTCAAAGCCCAGTTGCGCTTGGAGTAGCTCAGCTCCATCTCCTTTGATTCGTCCCTTAAGCGCCGCTCCACGGATCGGCACCGGTTTGATTTCCAGAGCTGCTACATTGTCACGAGGAGACTCTGGAGACTTTCCCAAAACACCCAGCGGAATTTTGAAACATCCCAAAGTGACTATAGAGCCGGTTTTGGCTGAGGGGAGGTTTCGACCAAGCGATCCGGCTATAAGCGTTATTCAGGCCATTAAAAGCGAAATAGAGAAGGTGTCTCTACCGGGAAGTTCCACAGATTTGCATAAATAGCATTCGGTTCTAGAATAGAGATAGAAATGTTGTTTGTATTTACTGCTATAGTTGTTCTATGGTTCCGTTCAGTTATGTTCATGTTGATAGCTCGTTTACGTTGATCAGCTTGTTTGTTATTAGTTTAGGATCGTTTTAAGAGTGAAGACAGTTTGATTTTGCAAAAGTCATGTAAAATTGATTGATCAGTAGCCAAAAGCATATTCAATCATTCCTAATGTAGTTCTGATAAAATGTGTTCATGTAGGTACCTAAGACTTATTTTAGTTGAAATATTTCAATTGTAAATTGATAACGACGGTTTGCAATAAAGAATAAAATGGGAATAATGAGTCTTACTTGGTTTAAGCTTCAAGCTTTTTTCCAACTTCTCTTCTCAATTTTGATAAATTTTACAAAAAAAAATATTTGATTCACGCGTTTTACACTTTTTCACGCAAAAAGCATACCTGTTTCACTTTTAATTTGTATATGTATATACAGGGTTATTGATTGAGCTTTGGCCACCCCTTTTTTGCATCTAATAGAAAAAATAATGTTTTATACAAAAGTTGTAGATATAAACGTCTAGTCTATTTTAAGATAATACCAATTGATACAGGGTGTCTCAAATTCAAGTGGCATATCAAACTTACCTTTTTTTAAATGGATTGTACTTTTTATTGCATATTCGAACTATTCGCATAATTCTAAGCCTATTCGATATAAATGTTCTATAATGACTTTCAACTGTTTTTGAGTTAATAACCAATACTGATTGAACTTTAGCCATCCCGTTTTTGCAGCTAATTTGAAATTTAGAGCAAACTGTTAAAGATAAAAGTTGTAGATATTGACATATAGTTTATTTTAAGATAATAACAATTGCTACAGAGTGTCTCAAATTTACGTGCTTGGCTAAATTTAATTTTTTATAAATTGAATGCCCGAATATTTAAATGTTTATTAACTCAAAAACAGTTGAAGATCAATATAGAAAATTTATATCCAAGAGGACTGTAATTTTGCGTATAGTTCGAATATAAAACTAAAAGTGCGCGATTCCATTTAAAAAAATGTAACTTTGTATTGCCACTTGAGTTTGAGACACCCTGTATCAATTGGTATTATTTTACAATAAACTAGACGTTAATATCTAAAACTTTCGCATTTAATATGTTTCTCTAAATTTTAAATTAGATGTTAAAACGGGCTGTCCAAAATTCAATCAATATTGGTTATTGTCTAAGAAAGTCTAGAAATTGTAAAGAAACCAGAAATTTTCTTTTCGCAAAAACTATGACTGCTACATGATTTTACAAAGAGCGCAAAATTGTGAATAAGTGATTAGTGCACCAACCAAAAAAAATTAGTTGATTTCATCCACTAAATAAAAAATTCTGGTAGTTTTTGTGCCACGACATTCCAGAATCCACCACTTCCAAAACATGAGTTTTACATAAGAACAAATTTTCATCGAGTTTGACCAAAATACATCGTACTATTCTCCCGATATTTCCAAAAAGATAATTTTTTTTAAGAACTGGGGCCGTCAATAGCAGAGAAGCCAGACAATTTTTGTTAATAAAAGTTATGTTAGATCATTTTCTTTTCAGGCAAAGAATATCGCAGTATCGTTTTGATCATGTGCTTACGGGACACCCTGTATAGATCGATTCAAAAATAAAACTTACCATCAACTTGACCTCAGTTAACAAGTTAATAGTACACTTTTTCAATAGCAAGCTAATGAGACAATGCGAGCAACAAATTTTATAAATGTAATTCAAATACGGAAAATCTTCAAAACTTTTCATTCGCCATATTTATTTCAACTTTTTCAAGTTTTCACTATGTGAAATAGTACTACACTCATCGGAATGTTCGCTAGTTGGCCGATAGACGTCGCCGGTATCCAATTTCAGTCTTTCTTAGGACAACTTCAACTGAAATTAGTGCGAAATCTATGCCAATGGGTAAAAGTCAGGGGGGCTCACTCATATTGACTTGCGCGGAACCAAGTTTTTGGTCTGAGGGTTACGCCACCTTCCTTCGCACACGCCAAACAGACATCAATATGACGAGTACAGGACAGTTTTCAGTTAAGTCAAGTGATTTAATGCACAGAATATCGCCTGGAGGGCTGGGAGAGTTTATGGTGTTATTTCCAATTTCAAGGTTACGAGTGACAAGGCGTCCACCATAGAGAAAGTAAAATAATTTTACTTATTTTACTTACTCTATGGCGTCCACAAATTGTGTAAAAAAGGCGTCTAATCGATGTAATCGGTAGCATTGATGTAAACAACTTTAGTGCCGGCATTGTTTCTTGCTTTCTACAAGTGTTTTATGAAATTTATTAAAAAATGAGTTCAATTCTTCAACGTTGCTGTGTACCTCAGTGCGATGATACATCTTCAAAGCGGTAAGCTTCAGCATT